TAAATCAAAGAAAAAAAATCATGTTTTTGCGTGAGAAATGAATGAACAGAATTATTTTATTTCAATATTTCATGTCTGGTTATTAATATAATTATCATCTCTTATTCATTATTCAGGTTATGGCATTAAAAGAAATGGCGCCTGAGAGAGTCATGTCTGGAGTGCAAAGGGTTCACTTTCACGTTTGCCACCCTATTCGCCAGGATCCATGCAAATCTCGGTATATACCAGGGATCGCGATATAACCGTAAATCCGATGAAGGATTTACAGCAGTCGAAACAGATGTATGGGTAAACAGACAAGATTCGTTGGCGAGTCGCACAAAGAAAATGTTTGAGATGCGTGAAAGACTCGCGTCTCGGTTTTAAAAGTTTCGCTGTTATTGTTGGTTCCGAGCCAAGCTAAGTAATGCTCGGCATGACGCAAATACATCAACCCTGCCGTCTTCTTCGTGCCTTTTCTTCCAACCTTTTCCAATCGTGACAAATCGGATACGCTGATGGAATTATTCTAGTCCCGTGAATCAGGTTGGTATGTCTTTTTCAGTTATGATGATTGATTCTTACCAAGAATCTTTACAAGTTCCTTTTTTTTTAGAGATTGAAATACCTACGTCTTGTCGTGATCTGCCTAAGAAAAGATGTTAAAGAAGACCATCTTTAGCATCGTCTGCAAATGAGAAATATTTCAGGACTCTTAAGAGCATCCTGCAAGGAACCAAAAATTCTTTCATCATTTCGTAAATTTAATATTCAATTCAAAATTCAATATAATAATTTTTATAGGATTTTAAATTCTGTTTTCTTTTTTTTTTTATTTTCTATAAAAATATAGGAATTTTTAGGAACCAACTTATCTATCAATCTGCATATCGACCAGTGGCTCCAGCTAACGGCGAACATTGAAGTGACCATAGTTGAGCATATCGGCTGATTTCTACTATCATCTACTCGGTCACCTTGAAGAAGTTGGAACCAAACATTCAAATTGGTATTAAAATTGAGAAATAAATAAAATCATTTCCTTTATGGAAAAGTATTAATTTTGAAATATTTCACTTTATGTAATCACTTTAAGTAATCACTTTAAATTGCGCTTATTTCTCTAAGAATCAAAATTTGGTGTACTTTTCTTATAGAAAATGGAAACAATGAAGAACACTGGCAAATGAGAAGTGGATTTTACGAGATAATCGAAAACGCGTAGAACAACGGATCATTGAAAATGCAACGTATACGACATTATATTCTTCAAAGAATATAATTATGGCAATTGAGTAACGATCGGTATAATTGATTTATTACCATTTTTTATAACTATAATTATAACGTAGAAAATTGCCAACCAGTAAAGGCAATTCATCAATCATTTTACATTATAACACAAGGTTTCATCTATGACGAATGATAAAAAAGGTCGTATAAAACAATACACAGTGTATGAAAATGATTTTGATTAAATTCAGAATATTTTATGGAAACATAATACTTGAAGAGAATTTTCAAAAATTTCAAAGTAATTAATCAAAAGTGTATCTACTTTCTTTTTGATTTTAAGGGGGCAGAGCAGTACTTAACCTTCAAAAAATCGATTTTTCTTATTGTCTTAAAAAATTTTGCGTCTTTTGCTGCATCGAGTGCAAAAGTCCTGAAATCGATATTCGAAAAACTCGCATCACTGGAATTGACCCTGACTGGAGCAAATATTTTTGTCAATCAAATGTTTAACCCCAGTTTTCTCGGAACACCGCTTTTGATCATGGTGGATAGCATAATGAAATAACTGAAATTCCAATCGCTGTGAAATTTTTTGATCGTGTATCTAAAATACATTTTTTCATCCTTTGCAGATTCTTTCTCTGCGCTGTATCCTGTCTATCATTGAGATTCGCTCTATTTTGCAGATGGTTAATTTAAGATTTTTTCCGGACATTTCTATTGTGATATTTTTTATCTCAATTTTTTTATAAATAGTTTAAGGTTGAACGTAAAGTCTGAGAAAAATTTACATGGCTACCTTCTTCCAATCATTTTCCATGAATTTTTAAAGATAGGATATAATAGAGATTATGTCATACTAGTCTGTCCCCTTAAACACTAACGAAATTTCTACACTTTTCACGTTGTACACCTAACATCAGGCTCCACGAAACCATTACTCGATGAGCGTGTAATTACAACGAAGTTTCTCATACATCACGTAGCTTCATCTCGCGGAAAATTTCCATTTTAATTCCCAGGTTATCGAAGTTTCATCCTCCGCTTTACCGTGAATCGGGGATCGGAAACTCCGTGAAATCGTGGCGGTTACATCGGCAATTTCGCTTTGGCCGTTGCCCAAGGAAGGAAAGACACGCGTCGAGCAACCGAAACCAACTACACCGCAACTTCGTATTACGTAAATAAATAAATCGCTTATTCCTGAGGGATTTCAGTTAAGAAGTACTTAAGCACACTTCGTAAGCATACATTATAAGAGAGGATAGAATTCAAGGTGAAATGTGAGCAGCCATCTTCGTGATACCATCGATACGATGCAATTATTACGTGAAGTACGGAATATAAAAAATGCATTTAATACGATACTTGATAAAGCCTATGGATAGATGGGAAGTGCTAAATTGGAAATAAGGTAAATGGAAAATTTATGTTTTTGAAAAGTAGAGATATTTTGTTGAAAAGTTTAATTCTACCTTTGGCATTTTCAGCGGATCACACCAGTTACGTCTTGTGTTATGAAACACCCTGTACATTGGATTTGTCCCAGCAACATATCATTAGATATTCCTCCCCATAACTCGAACAGGATCCCGTTATGGCGTTACGCGGCAGAAAATAAAGGAATGCTAAATGGACAAGGAAAACTCGTGAAAAAAAAGGAAAGAAACTGAAAAAATCTGTCTCGTTAATATGAAAATTCATACACACGCACGTACGTGATCTGATGAAATTGCCAACGCCAATTGCGAGATGAAGGAAGTTACACGGCTTCTACACACATTGTCGTGCGATTTTTCTTTTCTTTCATTCGTGTTTATCGTCGATTCAACCAGGAATCTACGATTTACCGTCGTGTTTGCAAGTCTGATCTTAATGACTTTGCCTTTACACGGCTTCGCACATTCGGTGAGCAATTATACAGTGTTTCGTAACACGTGGGATGATTGAAAAGGTTCGTATAGACATACACGTTATTTGACCTTGTTCCTGAGGTATTTTGTTTATTTCGCAGATTCTTGTTTCAAGTTTTTAACTTTTTACGTAATTTTTAAGTTTCATTCTTGCTTTTTCAGATATCAGTTGATAAATTCACTCTGAGATTAAAGGAACGACGGTGAAACCTAGTGAAAGAAATGTTCAAAGTCCAAACTTCAAATTATGTGCAACGAATATTCAATTACATTGCATGTCTAAAAATTCATTTATGTTTCGCTTATATTGAAGCATTTGGACATATATAATGTGAAACAACAGATAGGAAAATTCGCTACAGCACACAAGAAATAAATATTAAATCACGTCAAGGATCTAAATTATACACCACAACACAGACTACAAAAGTTTGTAGAGTTAAGTATAAAGAGGAACATGGTATATAATGTTAGTGTAATATAAAATTTGCTGGTTAGCTCGATGAAGCTAGTTGTAGATATAATTTAGTATTAACCCTTTAGCTTACGATGTCGTGAGAGACACATCTCACGGTAATCGGACCACGCGTAAACAGCTCGTGTGTAAAACGTGATACGGCAATCGAGTCAAACCTAAACATCCCCTGAGAGACGTAGTACGTTGTTCGGACTACACGCAACAAACACTTACTAATTGTAAGCCCATAAAAATATCTTTAAGAAGAATATTAGATGTTGATGAGGACACTGAAAGTTCTGGTAACGTCGCAAACAGTGACTTAATAGATATTTTAAATAATGATAGCGACACCAGTGATATTTTACTTCCTACACGAAAACGTTGGAAGCGTCTGGTTATTGAAGATGACACCGACGATGAAGACCGCGGTATTCAACAATCAGAGCTATGAATTTGGACAGAAAAACTAAGGAATCAAAAATCTGGAACTATACGGAGATTACAAAATAAATAAATCCTATAACTCTTTCAAGTACAATAATCAATTGATAATCATTATTTATCAAACATTTTGCAAACTAAAATTAATCGTACTTTACACATAATACATGCGAACCAACGTCATCATTTTTCCACCGTAACGAAATTTCGTATAGTAAAGTACGAGTTTTTCCGATGAAAAATACCGATGACTATATTATGTAAAGCTATTATAGCGAAACAAATGATCGGTTTTCCACGCGTCCCGTAGCAGCGAATGTGCTGAAATTGCTTAGTTTCGAAATTTTGAAAGGAACGATAGAGCAATACATTTCAATCCTGTGTAACTAAAATCCTCTTCTCTAATGGCAGAGAAAAGTATGTAAGACTTTTTTAATAGAGGTACAGATTTTTTCTTCGACATTATGCAAATCTCTAATACTACGGAATGTACCTCTAAGATGATGAGTGAAAAAGTCTTAGAACTTACAGAAAAGAAAGTATTACGAAATTTGAGACAATCTTCCGTTACAGTTCTTTTTGAATGAAGTCACAGCTAGCATTAATTACACAATAAGATTATGATCGTTACAATTATTATAATCACATAATTTAAAATGTTATATAATTAATGTAACATTACTATGTTTTAGAAATTATGCTACAAGTAACATGAGAACCAGAAGACAAAATATTCGATTTCCAATACCGAACAACGGTATAAAGGATTAATGCACGTGACCGTGACGAGAGTGAGGAAGAAAGAATAAAATACCCAACTTTCGATATAAAACAACGTTTTAAAGGGTTAATATAAACGCGAGGTGAAAAAGACGTAACAAGGTCGCAACGTGTGACGGGGTGCACAGCTCGCAGGGCCTAAAACCCTAGAAATTCGCCTAATACATATCGTATTGGCTTCCTTATAAAGCTTCCGCTTTTCACTACCAAGGTTCGCAGTTCGAGGAGAGGCTGCTCGAGAGCAGACCACGGTTACCCTCTTGCGACCAGCGCCCGTGATCTTGGCCCCTTGTAGCTTGTTCAGCGTTCTCTGCATGCGTTCATGTCGTTCCGTGTCGCGTATAACAGTTGAGTGACGATCGAGAGAAAGAGAAAGAGGCGGAGGAATTAATTTTCTTTTCAAAATTCTACGGTGCATGGAATTCCAGCCAGAGAGTGCTTTACCCTCGTCGTTCTATGCTTTCTTCCATTATCTGTATAATCGAATAAAAGGGAAACGATCGATAACAGAGGAAGAGATTGAAGAATGCGAGTGTAAATAGCCAGGGAGAAAAGAGAAGAGTAACGAAGCGAAGAAAGGGGAGAAGAAGAGATTCATAATGGGGAAACTGATTGCGTTGATAATGATAATCGGCATTATCTGTGCCTGCACCTGCGGAGGACGTACGGAATGCGGAAGCCATGCGCAGATCTCGTTGCTGACTAGTATCCACGATGATCCAACCTGCAGGAAGCTGTCCGCTAGAGGAATACTCCTCTACGAAGCTGCGAAATTACTCACCGAAATCCACAACAATAAGACTGCTGGCTATGATATCGGTAAACAACATAATTTTTCCATCCTGTTTATTTCTTCTTTTTTTTCATGATCAGGAGAGTACCTGGAAAAGAAAGAGATGAATAATATAAGAACAGGAGTGAAATAATGCCAGGGAAATATTCTTGATACATCTCTAAGCAGAATAAATTAGACGTTAATGCATAACATCTGGTCTTGGGTAATATCAATTAGAACGAACTAATCGAAAGGCTCCTGACTTTCATTGCTCTAAGTGATGGTAATTAAATAGGTTTCTTTTTCTATTCTCAGTTAAGGAGAAGTTCTTCATGGGATTGAGTTATTAGAATTGCGTTAGTTTAGATGAAAGGGTAGTTGTATCTTTATTATCTATTTCCTTAAACATCTGTGGTGTTCGTTGTTATACCTAAAATCTTTGAAATCCCACAATTGTAAAATCTCTGCACGAAGATACGATCCTTCAGAATCGTTAGTGACCTAATTTCATTTTTTCATTGAATAACCTTCTATGGAGTAAAACTACGATTAAAGAAGTAAAGCTAAAAAGCTCTCGAATTTTCCAGAGTTGATCAGTTTTTAACTTTATTTCCTAGGCGTTAATTACATTAAAGCAAATAAAATCCAGAGCCCAGAAATCTACGGTTTTTCAGAGCTAACTACCCTTTAACTTCATTTTTTCGACTGCGTAGACTTTCGTAGAAACCTCATTCCGATCAAATTGTATTCGAATACATAATATGGTTTCCATTATTTTGCAGAATTGTCTGTCTTGGACACATGCGGCAGTATAACTGGTGCTCTAAAAGCAGCGATGAAGGCTCTCGTGGGGGCAGACACAAGCTGTTTGCAACCGCCTTATTACTTAGGTAAATGCAATCTTGTGGGACATTAGATTTGCTAGAGTTTTCATCAGTACAGTCCTATTGATTGACATATCTTGATACTTATAAGGAAACATTTTCAACTTGGACACGTCGATTTTTATGAAATTTACATGAGAGGTAGTTGTCAAAAAAATAATTGACACGTATTTTTGGATGTAAAATGATGTAAAATGAATGGATAAGGTCTTTGAAATGTGTATTAATGGAAATAATCGAAGTATATAACAGTGTTGCGAGTCAGTCTTCCTTTATACTATATTGTGCTACTTTATCCTCCAGGAATTATCGGCCCAGATACTGCGACAAATGCGGAAGCCGTACACAAGATTACGTCAGTGCTGAAAGTGCCGCATATCGTGAGACGAGAATCGGATTCTCCATATCTTCATCATCTAGTGAAGGAATCTGATTCTTATCTAGTCCAGGTGATTAGCTATATTTGTAGCAATTTTCATTATATCTATTTCATTATACGTAGTAATATTATTGTTACAGCATTCAATCCTTTCCAGTAGAGATAACTAGGATACAGTAACCTTTACTCTGTGACAAGGTGCCAAATAAAGGCATTCAATGAGTACGATAGTTCATGTAGCAACACTCGCAATAGGTATAGCGTACACTAGCATTTGTATAATATCAAGTTTAGATTAAGAAGTATAGTAAGGATGGTTAATGTTAAAATATCTCAGTGTCCCATACTTTTTTTTAGAAACTAAGTCTTTATGGCTTATATGTAAGCTACTCTATCTGTAAACAGACCTCTAGTGTCAGTTTGTAGTGGACTCTATAAATTGAATTTTATAGCCAGAGAGTATGAATAATTATATTCCTCGATTTTATCATGAACATTAAATCCTTCAGACTAAAACATTTATAACATTCAATAGAGTCATAAATTGTGTAATTACGAACAGTTATTAGATAAATCTATCACAGTGCGAATAAAAACAAGTTATTTCAAAGAGTTATTTAATTATTAATTAAAAGATTTTTTTTACGTCCATGATAATAAAATTTGCGAAACGTTTACTCTACAGCCTGTAATTGACGTTGATTCATGAAATTTGTAATGACGTAATTTTCATCTTCTTCTCACCGCTAATTAATTTTACGGTAATTCCCTCGAAAACTTTAGATCAATATATAGAGCCATGGTCGTTTATTTCTCAATAATCTAAAGCTATTTCAAGAAAGATCTCGATGGTATATAACGTAGGATACTTTAGCACTAAGGGTCGTAGTAATAGAAGAGAAAGTCTTAGATCTGCGAGTGGATGCGGAGGGACGAAAGTGCAAAGATATTGTATGAAAGGTCGTGGTTAATGTATACAAGAAGATCGAGAAGGAATATTTATGGCAGTGTCAAGTGCAAGAGAAGAGAGGAAGTCGAGGAATGCGATTAA